CTCTTCCTCCATCTCTTCGCCGGATATCTCAACACTTCCACTGGACATCGAGATGAAATTTGAAGGAGAGCCAAATGTATCCACCTCAATTTCTTGGTTTGGGACATATTGACCATTCTGGAATGCGCGAACTGGAGCTGACTGTGATAGAGCCTTAGTCGGAGACAAGCCAAACGGGGGCTTGATTGGAGACGTGTAGACCGCAGCGAAGGGGTTAGGATATTCCAAATAAGGGGCCGACGTGATAGACATTCTGGATGAGGAAGTTGGAGTCCTTGATATGTTGGCTGGCAGAGACGATTCCGTTGTTAGTCTTCTAGCCGCCTTCTTGATGGGTGAGACGTGTGAGCCTGTAGCCTCGTAGAAAGCTATTGCGTTTGCGAATTGAGACTCATCATATATGCAGTCGTTCCCATAGTCCTCGTAACAGGCGTAGGCATATTCTCCGTCATTGCTTTCGACTTCCCACGGGCTTCCAGGTGCCACATGAGCAATCTGTTTCGATAGGCCATCCGCACGTCGTTCAACTGAAAACATCTGGTTGTGTACGTGCTCTCGATGGGCAACTAAATCAGTAGAGGGCGAAGCAGACGCGACCAACTCTGACTGTGGTTTCGAGTGAATTATAGGCGTCGTCGGCTGAGGACTTGCTCTAACTCCCGGGGTATGAGGTGGCTGTGGACGCATCTGGTTCGGATGCCGAATCGGGGAAGACGATGCGGGCATGAACCCCCGCGAGCGGTGCTTGGTGGGACTACGGTCAGTACGATCAGTACTGCGAATGCGCACAATCTCGTGCTCAGCCCTTCCTTTCCCGCCCTTTATGCGACATTTTCTGGGACCTGAACTGAAGAGCTTTGTCTGCCGGCGTCGGGCCGCAGAAGACTCCAAGGATGAAACATAACCACTGTCATTCCTTGTTGCCGAAGCGTCCATGGAGCCATGGATCTGCCTATGGCGCCTATCTTGCGATCCTCGTCGGGACGAGCGAGCAGAAGATGGCGCCATGCGCTGTTGGCCCAAAGGACGAGGCATAGGGGGTGACGAGTGCATCAACAGGGGCATGGGGGACGCCAGGTCGTTCGGAGGACCATCTTGCTCCTCAGGCAAGGTATTGTTGTCAGAGAGTGGTATGGTCGCATCTGAAGAAGGTTCCGGGGCGGAAAACTGCGGCGCAGGAGCTAGTGCCTGGTGATACTGAGGGGTTTGAGGCTGAGGAACTTCTGGAAGTGGTGGGAGGTTATCTTGTGTTTGAGTGACCTCAGCGTGAGAATAACCAAGAAGTGGTTCAACTGTCATCATATGAAGGTTTTTCGCCGCAGCTGCTGACTCCCCTGACTCCCCTGACTCCCCTGACTCCCCTGACTTCCCCAACTTCTCAAAATGACGGTATTCCTGTCCTGGACGATGGTACCAAGGAGCACCTTTCCCTGGCTTGTCACCTTCTTCGCGCTTTTTCCTCATGTAAACAGGCTTCCATAAACTCAAGTTATGCCGGATACTATTTTGCCACCCGTCTTTGGCCGTCTCTCTGTAAAAGGCGTAGTGGGTCGCTATCCAGGCGTATATTTGAGATAGCGTGAGCATGTACTGAGGGGAGCTGAGTATGGCCATGGAGATGAGTTGCACATAGCTATGAGGTGGCTTATTCCCATCATCTTGCTTCGGGTCAGGCAGTGGGGGGAGTTTGGTCAAATCGGGCACAAACGTCGGATGCGGGCCAGGTCCCCATCTGGGAAGCTCGTCCTCATTCGAATCCACGGTCTCGTTCAACTTATTGATATCCCTCGGCTTCTTGGTGACTCCCGGCTTATTGGTGACTGCCGGCCTCCTGGTCACTCCCGACTTCTTGGTCTCTCCCGGCCTCTTGGCCTTTCGCGGCTTCTTGGTCCTCGAGGTCGCTTTCCCGGTATGGGTTGTTGGCATTAAAGGCTGTCTCGGCGTCGAGTCGGGAAGTTGGGGGTCTAGCATTGGCGGGCGCATTTCGGCCGGGTTCCAGTTTTCGTCGGCGACTTGCTCCTTAAAAGGCTTTCCATTGCCGCGCCCCTCGGAGGGTCGCATGGTCGCATTGCTGTCAGTATCTTGCAAGGGACCACGCGAAGGGAACCTCTGTCCGGCCGAGGGCATCGGTGCCCGGCTAATCGAAGTTGATGGCGCTCCATAGCTTAGGTTCTCATCAGGGAAACGGTGAACAGGCCCGTTTAAGCCGGCTATGCCCGGCTGTCTGGCCATCTCTGCCAGACGAAGCGATAACGCGCAGAGGACAATGAAAGTGCGCTGGTACGATCAGGCCTTGTCAGGTATGATGAAGAACGGGCGGCGGGATGTGATGCCGTGTGTGAGAGAGAGAACAACAGAAAAAGTCCAACGCGGCTGGAGGGGTCTTGGGCCGGATATAAGTAGTCGAGAAGGCAACCAGAAACATTGACCCTCGGATGGCGTTGGTATCGCTATCTAGACAAGGTTTTCTGGTGAGCATGTACCCAACGCTACCAAGGCTTGCAAGAAACTGTGGAAACGCAAAGGCGAAAAACAGTGGCGGCTCAGCAGAGAGTAGCACAGAGTTCGAAGCGACAATGGAAAACAATAGCGCTGGGCCGGGGTGCAGATTGTTCGAAAAAGAGGAATGGGAGGGGGGGAGAGCTGGATCGTCGCGAGCGATCCGTCCCGGGGAGAAAGAGTGACAGGGGAGTGGGTGCAATGCCAATGCCAGCCTAATGCATAGGAAGCGTGGAGGACAACAGATGTCTCAGTCGGCAGTATGAGGGTAACTCCATGTCCATTGGGCCTAGGTTACTTACCCAGGTAGAGTCCGTTAGTGTAGGCATGTACCTACTTACTGACCATCAGACCGTCCACTCCAAGTCAAAGTCTGCATGCGCACCCTCTTCTGACCGGCGCCAGCAGGAGGTAGGCAAATAAGAGACCACTGATGTCGGGCGCATATGATTGGGAAGGGTGGGAGACTTCCAGCTGGAGAAGGACAGGATCTGGGTAGGAACTACAAAGTAGAGGAAGCAGGATCGGAAGCAAGCGCTGAAGGTAAAAACCCTCCCGAATCCCCAGTAGGGCTTAGTTCGCCAACTCAGCACTGGACCAGCAGGGAAAGTGGCCAGAGATGGGGCACTAATCCCGGCATGAGGTTACTAACGCAAAAGAGGATTGGTCGACAATACTCTCGGCTGACACGATGACGGTAAGACTGATAAGTAAATCCCAGAGTTTCCATCGAGAATGGAACAATTTACAGGGCCTAGACAAGCTAGAGAAAGAGGGTGGGGCGAGCTTGATTAGGCAGGCCGACTCCAGGACTCTTGGTTGGATGATGACGGTGCTTCTTGCCATGTAACAGTTTCCAAAATCTAGCAGAGAACGCGACAAGTTGGGCTTGGTCTAACAGTATGCTGTACATCTGTACTGCTGTAGAATGAGTCAGAGAAAGAAGAGACTCAAAGAATACCTTTGGGAGGAGGGCTTACTGAAAACGCGTTCACTTTTGCGCCAACCTTTGGGTGCCTTTCTGCAGGCGCCCATAAAGACTGATTGGGTCACCGTTGAATGTCTACATAACCTAAGACTTACATAGGTATAGGTAGGTAAGTAACAGGTAGACAAGTAGTGGCAGCCTATGAAAGATCTTGAACACCAGTTTTGAAACACACGACAATCATACAGATGTGTTAAGCTTTGCTTGAGTTGATCTGACAGGCTTTTGCGCAGGATCCTTTGATTGTCTATGTCACGATCTTATTTTGCCTTGACGTGGAGATTTATTTATTGGCGTTTCTTTTTGTCTTGTAGTTGTCTACGTCCTCTTTGTCCCCTTTGTCCTCTTTGTATAAGTTTTCTCTGGGTTAGAAGGGCTGGAGCATTTCTGATAAAGGAAGTGCAATCTGCGCCAAAGGTACGAATATTATTTGGTGTTAACCTAATCAAGTGGGCAACAGCTGTACAGCTGTAACTGCTGTGTGCTGTACCGCATACAGAAATCAGGACAAGTGATTGGTTACTGAAGCTCGGTTCTTGGACATAGCGCGTCAACATTGTCTAAAATTGGTTGGTTGCGGAGCTAAGAAGAAGGGGGGGTAGGTCAAAACGCGTCAAACCAAGAATTAACTTGGCCCCTTTGTGCCTTTCAGGATATGAGCTTGACCAATGAGAAGACATGGGGAACCTGCAAGCACTTACCTACCTTTTACTGCTGTACAAAGTACCTACTTACCTAACCATGGCCATTGCATGGGAAGGTCAGTTTTGGTACCATGTGAACAACAGGCACCACCACCAAGTAAGTACAAGTATATGTGGGACTCATTGGCATCCATAAGACTCTCGAGTCTGATGGGCCTCAGAAAGATGACCACTAGTACACCTTTTCATAAGTTAGAAACAGAGGCCCGAAGGATTCCGGCCATGGCCTGGGCTCCTCCGACCACACAAGCGTTCTCTTGCTCATATAATCGTAGCATAGCCCACTGTGGCCCAAAACACGCCCCCAAGCCTGCGCATGGACATGAACCTCTCGAAGTGCGATCTTAATCGTCTGTACATTGAGCCTAGGAGGCGGACTCCGAGCATGCCCGGATCGCTCCTGATTGGGGGCCCAGCCGGTCGTCAGTTGGTAATGGCCATTTTCATTTGTTTAAGTGGTAAGGCTACTGTGAGAAACACGAGCCAATACATACATCATCTAGAACGGGGGGTTTGATACCTTCCCCTCGGTCTGCCCAACCAAGGGGCTCTATATAGCTCCTATATAACAAGGCAATACATGCCGATAGTGGTGTATTAATACCGAGGTAGGTGAGGAGGTATAGGAACCAAAGAAAGAAAAATAAAATAAAATAAACATGGTTTATTATCCTACCCATCAGTATATTGGTTTGCGTGTTCAGATAGCCTGTATGCTGTATCTGACCCGCTTCATTACTAGTCTATGTCTGCGATTCATGTGCTAAGAGAGCCAGAAACTTATTCAACATCAGCTATTAAGTAGCTCCGCCCGGTTAGCTCAATCGGTAGAGCGTGAGACTCTTAATCTCAAGGTTGCGGGTGAGTGACGAGAAAAGATTATACTGATGGTATTATACATCGTTGAAGCTAACGTAGAATATTCAGGTTCGACCCCCGCATCGGGCTCAATTCCTGATGCTCCTTAGAATCAACTAAGGATCTCAACCTCGCTTTTTTTGGTTTTCTCCTTTTTTCCTCCCTCTTTAAGTAAGTACTTACTTATCTTGGGGTTTCAATATTTTTTTGATACGAGGTACAGCTGTAATATGCTTTATCTATCTAATATCTAGGAGCCTAGGACTTTGTCCAGATCGACAGCTAAGCTACCGATCGGCCTGTTCCTCCCTCGTTCGATTTGTTTGTTTTGATTGTGTACCCAGAGTTTCTCAACTCATGCACTTTGTCAGGTGCAGGGTTGCCGGATGGCGGACTCAATCCAGCGTAAGTGGTTACCAGAGAACAACAAACACAGGGACAGTGACAGGGACGGGGACGGAGACGGGGACAGAGACAGAGACAGAGACAGAGACAGAGACAGAGACAGAGACAGAGACAGAGACAGAGACAGAGACAGAGACAGAGGCAGGGACAGGGACAGGGACAGGGCCAGGGACAGGGACGAAGACAGGGATGGAGACAGCGACAGACAGCGACAAAGGACAGAGCGAGGGTTCGGGCAACGTTGAGTAATGGTGCTGTACTGTTTGGAGGAGATGCCCGCCTCACCTCCTCTTCCTTGAGGGTTGCCCAGGCCTGGACTCGTCAGACGAGACTGACGACAATCGTCGAACAGGCAACCCGAGTTTCTTGCCGGCCAGCCACACTACGCAGCGATGCACATATGTCTTGTGGTCCGTGGAGAAGTCGATCGTATGCTAGGTGCATATACGAGACAATACTTATTCGACCATCTCCGACCTGGATGGGAAGGGTCCTTGTTGCCGATTTCCAAGTGGTTGAGACGAACAATACGCCTTCGTTAGACGACCCCAAGCCTTTGTTTACACCCTTGCGGAAGGCGGATCTTTCCGTCTGTTCCGTGCTCGCGTTGACAAAAACAGGGAAGCAAGGGGGATCCCGGGGATCGAGCCCCATCTACCAACCAGAAGAACGAGGCATACAAAGTCTGTGTTTCTGGGAAGCTTGTGTTTGTTGTGCAAGTCTGATGTGGCCACCGGTGAGCTGGTACCCATGGCTTCAATAACGGCAAGACGGCAATAGCCGGTGGCGCTGCAGACTTTTGGGGCAATGTTATTGTTATTGTTTTGTTATTGATGTTGCTGTTTCGCCCCTGCAGCCCTGCTCATGGAGTTGCAACCTCGGGTGTGCTAGAGGAAAACAAACTGGATATACGGGCTAAAGGTGTGTGAATATCAGGATGTCGCAACAAGGCCACCTACATGCGAGGCAACGCATGCTGGCTGCCTAAATCTGTGCACTCTTCTACCTTTTATGACATGACCTGGCGGGATAGAAGTCCGGGACAGAAGTCGGTCAAGGGTGACAGGGTTCAAGAATCGAAGAATCGAAGGATACCGGAAGTCATCAATATCTTACCGGTCACTGAGCCACTTTGTTATGATTCATATGGGCGTCGATCATGGCAGCATGTGCTATGGCCTTGTTTTCGTCCACTGGCAGTTGCAGGCTGTCAGTGGATGCAAAGTAAACAAAACAAGGGGTCTGCGCCACTGTCCTTCGGAGTGGCGAGAATCATCAAGGCCGTCTGAGCTCGGTTGTACTGATTTACTTGGCTGGCTTACGGAGATGTACGCGATACCAGTCGCTCACTCCTCCCCATGTTGGGGGGTATAGAACGCATGTGTCGAGTTGTGGCTTAATACGCCTCTCTAAACTAAACGCACTACCCACTCCTTAAGCCCAAGATAACGGTACCTGTGCAGCCAAGAGAGTCTAAAGGGTGAGGAAACCGTCAGACAAGATAATGTAAGAATAGTACCTTGTACCAAAAAAAGGGCATACAAAGACAGAAACTCTGAACCCTATATTCAAAGATGAGATCAACTGAAGAGGAGGGCGCCATCAAGGTTTGAAAGATCAGACTGTAGATAGTAGGTTCTAGCTCGCATATGTTAAGATACGTATGGTTCTGTCGTCTTTGGTAGGTAAAAACAAGACCAAGGCAAGCAAGGGAGGGTGTATTTCTGGGCAACCCCTGGCTAAGGGGCCTCCCCCGTAATAGACGGTTAGGCCAAAACACTGAAACGGTTCCGCCTGACAGATAGACAATAACAACAGTTCCGATCTCCAGGTAATATGCATGTAAAGGGGCCTTCTATGAAGGTCACTCGAATCACGGGTACGCCATATGGTACAAAGTCAAAACCCACTGGTAATGTATTGTTTACACAGTCTCATATGGAAAACTTGCTCTCTTTAGACTAGCTTAGCATCGATGTAGCCGCGGGTATATCTGTCTTGCGAAGCGGAGAAGCCAAATATTGGCTGGTTGTTCAAAGGGAACACGATATAATATCGACTAATTCTACCAGTCTCTAATATAAAATCACAAGGTTTTCTGTTACCAAAACTAATGAACGCATAGAAACTGCCCTTTGAAAGGTTTGCTACGTGAGACCTAGGTGCCCTGGCTTCTACTGTAACCAAGTATATGGTGCCGAACTTGGATCACATCAGCTATTGGCCACCAGGTGCTATTGGTTAACCTACCAGATGAAGACCTCTCTCTCTCCCTTGCATACAGAGACTGAGAACCCCGGCACCGAATCCTCTCCTTACCGCGGTATATCTCGAGATACTCGAAAGGTATCCAGTTCTTCTAGTGTTTCTTCGGAAAAATATTCATAAAATATAGACGAATTTTATAATTTCACATGTAATTCCAAGAACTCCACTAGGTCAATGAAACTTTATTTGTTTCCGTCTCCCAAATTGAACTGCAGGCCCGACTCAAACTGAGAGCCCCTGATAGAGGTTATTCTTTCATGCCTGTGTCGTAAATATGGTGTAAGTCGAGAAACAGTTCAAGAATTTTATGTGACAGAACTAACAAAGCGCAGTACTTAAAAAGAAAACCGCAGACAGTGGACAGGATGGAACAGACTGGATGAACTTGGGATAATCAAGAGTATATTCAGGCTCTTGCAAGCTTCACTTTGGGGGATTCTCTACTCGTCGGGCTGTTGGGCTGCACCGCCGTTGCAAAGATAGGATCACAAGGTATGGGGACTCGCTGAACTTTTCTAACTTTGAGATGACATAGCTTTCCTTGGTCAGGACTAAGACTGCATACATACAAGAAACCAGAAGCCTGAATTATGTTCCCGACTCGAAAGGGGGTAACTAACTAGGTACGCATCTCATGGTACCAACCATGATAAATAAGGTCTGGGCCACAAGCAGGCAGGCAGAAATTGCCGATTGGGATGGAACTCCTCCAAAAAAAAAAAACAAGACCAAAAAGCTCAGGTCGGGAGTTGAACTCCCAACCTTACGAAAACTGCAGCGTTCAGTGATAGCCAGACGTCAAGTTCACAGCGCCCCCCAACACTGCGTCCAATTGAGCTAACCACCTCTACAAGTTTTCTAGCCTCCAAGTCACCCAGGGTACGTCCTTTAGCGGGGTCGGCTTATTGAAAGAACCTGTAGCTATTGACATATATATGCCTTCTAACCTGGCTGCGTTCTCATTGGGCGGTTGACACTACCGAGAACCTCAACAGCCGCAGTTACTCCGACCATCGAGAGAGGTCGTGTGTCATTTGCTCAAGGAACTGGTGCGACACATTGTAATTGTTTACTGTCTGCTCTTTGGTGGTCTTTACTGCGGTTCTGTTGAGGCCTTCCACGGTATCCCAACCTAATACGAGCCGCAACACTCTGATGGTCTATGATCTATATCAGCTCAACCTTCCTTGACAACTTTGGGATTATACCGACTACTTGAATCCGAGACAGCTAAGCCATAATTAAAACATTGAAATAAAGTAAGATTTCCAGGACCATACAGACCGAAGAGGCTCCCCTAGGTCAACAGAATAATTCAAAGTGCATGTTAGTCGTCATTAGTCATCAGGTGTTGGCCTGCTCTCCTATTGGTCCGAACTCCGGCCGGACGTCTCTTTACGGCCACCAGGATTCCTTCCAAGCCGCTTGTGCCGTCTCGTCCTGCAGGCAGCGGAACGAAATTTACGGCATATATACCCCGTCCGAAAAATTGGGGTATAAGAAGACCTCAATCCCCCAAACCTCAAAACCCACTCAAGACGCTCCATTCCTCCCTGAGGCTCCATCCTTTGGATTCAACCATGGCTTCCGATATTATCAAAGATGACCTTGGACATGGCGTCCCCGAGAGCACCTTTCATATCACATTGAGCCCTGAGATATGGCATCTTATCTTTGCTGAGGTATGTTCAACCCCCCTGGTTGGTTTTCATGCAATCTTGTCTACTTCTTGACCTAAGTGATTACCAAAACAGCTAGACAATCTGAAGGATCTATGCAATGTTTCCTTAACCTCGCGTACCTGGCAAATGATGGCCATGCCGCATCTGTATAAATCTGTCCCCCTGACGCCACGTGATGTATCACCACTGAATCGGGATCCTGGAGCAGAGCTGCAGCATTACAACATACTGTCCACCATGTTGGAAAAGCCCGAGAATGAACGGTTGAGAATAGTGGTGCGAGAACTGGAATTCGGCGGGTGTGACAGGTCTGGCTCATTTAGCGGCTCAGAGTTAGAGCCGAAGGAGAAGAGATTGTTGAGTCTCGTCGACAAACTTCCCAATCTACGCCGCATCAAGTGAGCAAGACTCCGAATAACTGTCTCTCGCCACTTCCCCCGTTCTCCATCACATACTAACATACCATGGTCGCCTCATTAAAGGTTTGGGTGCTCGGTGTCACAGGAGACATTGCAGCGACTTGTCGGACGTAAAAACATCTCACTGTACCTACTTGATGAGGATGGCAAGCGACAGTTCCAGGGAGAACTGCCAAACGTCCTGACTCTCAAAGCAGCCGTCAAGGGGCCATGGCTGAGGAATGTCTTGAATCAGGATGTTCTCGGCGTCCAGAAGCTGCTCTTCTCTTGTCCAAACCTGAAGTCGTTCTCTCTCGAGGTGCGCACGCCTTATGGTGGTTGCATGATGCTGCCACCCCGCTTTCCAATACTTCATCACTTTCAGTTCTCAGGCAACGAGAGATTCCCAGCATTGGAAGAGTTGTCGCTTAGCGGCTATGAATTCTGGGACGAAGAGAGGATTCATCGGAGATTCTGGAGGGAACGGTTTCAGTGGGCGAAGCTGAGAACACTCAAACTTGGTCCTCTCCAGCAGTCCGAGTTCTTGGAGGGGGCCAAGGGCTACGCCACTTCCCTTCAGAATCTTACAGTAGATATCTACACTGATGGAGACGAGTACACCGATTGCCCACCATTGGAAGAATTTCTCGCGTCTTTCAGCTCCTTGGAAAGCCTTACGGTCAGAGGCTACATTGTTCCGCTCAAACCCATCAGTCACCACCCGGCGTTGAAACATTTAATTCTTCACTCATTCGGAGAGCTGGAGCTTGGGAATACGAGGCATTCGTATAGCGTCAGCGATCTTCAGGAGCTTGACAGCATCTGTCCACATCTCGAGACACTGGAGTTGGATCTGAACCGTGATGGTGAATGGGTAAGTAAACCGGGAGAGCGAGAGGTGACCAAGAAGCGGGAAGATGGCAGACTGACACCGCACCATTGTTATAGCCCGAGGAGTGGCTCAAGGCAATCGCGACGGGCTTCAAAAGGCTTCGGCGATTGACTTTCCATCTGGAGCTAATCCCCAAGGATAGCGAGCAGATGGATGGGGGAGGCTTCTCGCCACTCATAGAGCCCATCTTGACAACTGACTCTGCCCGCGAAATCGGGAAACGGTTCTTCAAATGGCGGGGAGAACAATCGAATTTGAACACTATCATTCTCAAAACCGGAGAACCCCTCCGCAGGTATCAGCAGCGGGAGCCGCCGGAATATCGCTTCGAGCGGAGCCAGGCCGCCACGCTCGAGGTCTTCCGACCCCGGATTCCGGGAGACATTCCCGAGGTCGTGAAATACGCAAAGCACTGGCGGGAGTGGTGGTAATTAGCTCACTTTCTGGCAAGCCGGGGTCGCGATGAGGCCTTTACAAATCCCCACTATACAAGTAACACACAGACGCACTAAGCTACAATAGAGTTATATATAGTCACCAGCATGGCCAGGCCCCTTTTATTGCTGAACTCGGCACCAGCTCGTTCATCGGCATCCACTTGCTTCAGTCTCCATTCTCCTTGGTCTGGCTGGCCCGGACTGCTCGCTATGCAATTGGACCTACTTCAACTTGTAAGCCCACAATCCCAAGCCCACTTGCCTTCCGTCCTCTGTGGATCCACGCGCTGGCGCCAACAGCCCTTAGACTATTCCCGGCGATATTTCTTTTCATCAAATCGGTCCAGTAGCTCAGTGGTAGAGCGTGGGATTGCAGACCCCAAGGTCACGCGTTCAAATCGCGTTTGGGCCTCAAGTTATATCTTGAACAAATATATTTTTTTTTCTTTTTCATGTTCCATTCTCTGTTCTGTGTTTGCTCTTATTGCGACGATTGCGGACAGGTATTGCTGTACTCCGTACCTATGTTTCTCTTTTGCTATCCCATCTATGTCAGACACGTCTTCTGTTCGTTTTCGACAACTGGTCGAAGGCAGCAGGGAGTTTCACGCCCTTCCTCTGGGTTTCGGTGCCTGATACCTTGCTGTCTTAGACTCATAAAAATTCAAGAGAGGTGGACTAACTAGTTGTTGGTACTAACAATACTACTCAAGCGAGTAAGAATGTACTACACCATATCTCAATATCAAGAGATCTCTTGATCTGCTTTCACACACCCCCACGTCCGAAGAAGATATTGGTTAAACCGACTGTTGACTATTGTAGAAATACACCATAACGACTCCTTTTTAGGTTCGCTCATCTGACAACTTATAAGCCAGGTTACCATTCTTCTATCTAGATTCTACACAGCCGTTAGAGCATAGCTTGACGTACCTGACTTAAGTAAGAAGGGAGGACATCGCCGCGAGTCAGGGGTGGGTCTCAAGGAGGGAAAAAAGGGTTCCTCTTCGTGCCGCCAGTCAAAGCTTTTTATGCTAAGACAACCGAACTGTATTTTCACCAAACAGGCGAGAGAACAAGCAACAAATAGGTTTCGTGGCCCAATGGCAAGGCGTCTGACTACGATTCGATACCAAAAGGAAATCTCGAACCTTACCTGAGTTCGAGAGAAGTTTGTGTTGAGGATAAGTGTAATCAGGAGATTCTGGGTTCGACCCCCAGCGAGATCAAAATTTGTTCTCTAACCAGTGTGTCTGCATCTTCTGCTTCACTTCTCTTTTTTCCCACCTTTCTTTCTTTTCTTTCAGAGTGGGATCCCTGTACCTGAGAACTTATCCTGTTTCTAGCAGCGGACGTCTTCAACAAAGAACAAACAACAGGTTTCGTGGCCCAATGGCAAGGCGTCTGACTACGATTCTTCTCTCTCTCTCTACCAGAAGATGTAATCAGGAGATTCTGGGTTCGACCCCCAGCGAGATCAATTCAAATTGCCCATTCAGTTCTTTTTTTTGAAAGTTTTCAATACTAAAGATAGTATCCCATGTTTCGAGCCTTAACTGAGGACTTTAAACGTCCATGTCTTCAACAAACCAAAAGAAAAAAACGCGGTTTCGTGGCCCAATGGCAAGGCGTCTGACTACGATTGCGATTCATGAGTTTTGAATAAAAGATTCCTGGAGAGCGTGTTGTTATCAGGAGATTCTGGGTTCGACCCCCAGCGAGATCAAAAGTTGTTTGATAGCAACCTGAAGTTGGTATTTGGTTGTGTCCTCCTTTTTCTCTTCTATCTGCCCCCTTTTTTGGTTCTGGTGCTATACTGTCAGGCAGGGTTCTGCCTGCCGGCATGCCAAGGTGAAAACGCTGATTTGTTGACGACTTACTGTTCTTTGTATATAATGCATTGGCTCTTTCTAGTTCGAGAACAGGAGAAATATCGAATACTCCCGACAATATGTGATTACTCTGTGAATGAATTGTAGATATGGTTGATGATATTTCTTTTCGTGAAGAATACGACTTCAAGATGTGTCGTTTTGACACAGCACAGTAACTTTACACAGTATAAGCAGGACTGCTAAGCAGGCAACCGTAATACCTACCTGGGTTAGCTCAGTTCTCTTGTCCAAGAGCGTCCCCGCCCCCAAACTGGACTTGCTGGGATCCGATCCGACCTGGTGTCTTTCTTTCAGGCGGAATATCCAATCGTGAATATCCATGTTGCTATTTGCTGTTGCCTCATACGGTACCTCATTATAAACAGACACAATACTCTGTCATACACTACGCACGGTCCCAACTTACGAATTGAAAGATATGCCAGGGTGGAGGGAGGGCTACCTCGCCTCTTTGCAGGAAGCCGAGCGCAACAACCCTGTGAATAGCCATCTTGTGGAAGCTTGTAAGGCCCCTCCCCCATGCTACTTCACCACATTTCGTTATCGCGTAACCGACAACCGCGCACGAGATTCAAAAGCAAGGCAAGGCACACTATATCTTGGCTGACGACAACCGCCCCCGTCCGACCGGGTCCCCAAGGGGGCTTGGGGGGAAGGGGTTGATGGTAATGTTTATATAGGTTCGCAACTAGCCGACCGCGTCGCAGCTCTCGAGGCCGAGAAAGCGGCCCTGCTCCTGCAGACCCAGACCCAGACCCAGACCGCCTCTCATCCCCAATCCAAACCTCAGTCGCGTAGTAAAACAGCAGCGACAACAGACCCCAATTCCAAATCGAAAACCGATGCCCAGCCCGGCGAAGGCGCAATAACGCCAGCAGCGGCAGCGCAACTCCGCCTCGATCTCGCCGAAGCGCTTCGCGGGAAGGGACAGGCGCAGGCGCGCCTCAAGGCCGCGGAGCAGGAACTCGCGACCCTGAAGTCCAAGGCCAAGGCGGACGCCAGGCGCGTCGCCGACCTGACGGCCGAGCGAGGCGCCCTGGCGGCGCGAGTGAGGGATCTGAACGAGGAGTTGGAGGGGAAGAAGAAGTTCCTCAAGGTGCGTAGCGAGTGGCTACCCTGAGCAGGTTTCATGATGTTGATTAGCCCCCGTTGGGGGGGTTCAGGGACTTGTAGACCCTCGAGTCCGATGTGATACGTTACGTTGTGTCTCACTCGTCTCGTATTGCGCGTGTGATGGTGGTCCCTGCTGACCAAACCCTGCTCTAGGACGTCCAAGATGACAATCTCACCCTGAATATGGAGCTCAATGTCACGACACAAAAGCTGTCCAAGATACAAGCCGAGAACCACGAGCTCGTCGACCGCTGGATGAAGAGGATGCGTGTGGAAGCCGACGCCATGAACCTTCAAAACGAAATGCCCAGCAAATCCAAAAGGTGACGGTGGCGCAACAAGTCAAAATCATTGCGCCTCTTGTTTGGTATCATCTAGAAATACTCATCATCATTTATACAGTAAGTGTTGGAACAGGTTGTTTCGCTCATAATTCCGGCTAGTCCTCGCGTTTTTCCACGGGCTCTGCGCATTCAAACATCCGCAAAGGAACTGCCCGACATACCTGCCAGTCGGGATGTCCACAGTAAACCGCTTCAACTGACATATACTTACTTCATTCTCAGCGCTGAACTTTATTTTCTGGTTGAGATGTAGTAATCGCCTTCGGACGCAGCCCAACTAACCCAGTTCTCGTGGTATCGAAAATGTTCGACGTCCAAGATACTCGTGGCAACATCGTTGATTGCCGTCTTGTTGTCGTGTACGAACGACTTGAGCGAGATGATCTTACAGCCCTTTTTAAGATCCAAGAACATGTTGATGAGAGCGTCATTCAGCGTCGAAGTGAAGGCCTTATTGTTCACCAGGACGACATCTGCCTCCTTCAGTTTCTCCAGAATCTTTGCGTTGGTGCGGAAATCGCCCCGCTCGAGATGAACTCTTCCTGGAGCGATGCCCCAGAGGAGACACCGGGCCCTGAATTCCTTCTCCTGCGCTTCGGCGAGGTTGCAGGCGTTGTCCATCATCTCGCAACCATAACTACGACAGCCGATCTCAAGGGCTGCCTGGAGGACCACGTTGCCGACTCCGGACCCGAGGTCTACAAAGACTTGGTCCGAAGTCATCTTGGTCTGCTCTACCAGGATCTTGGTGACAAATGGGTGCAGCAGCTCTCCGTAAACATTATCACTGCCGGCGTTGTATTTCGTCAGTAGCTCGACTTGTGGCGCTACCGTTCGGTCATAGATCTGGGTGAGGATCAGGGATACCAGGCTGGATGGCAGGTGGTGGATTCGGTCCAGGTTCTTCGCGATGGTTCCGTTTTCCACCAACTCTAAGAGCCTTGTATTGTAGTTGTCGAGGGCTGCCCGGAAGGCAGATACATCTCGGTATTTCTCGCTGATGGCGCGCTCCATCTGTCTTCTATAACTCGTGTTGTGGTCTATAAACGCTTTGGAGTCCTCGTCGCTGAGGTACGTCTCGGCTACGCTTTCTAGAATTGCAAGGATATCTTTAACTGCATCGATCTTGTCTTTTTGCCAGACAAGTTCGTATCTGTGATTTAAGAGGGCTTTAGCACTTGAGTCGAGACGAACTGGCGAGGCTGGGATTTGAACTACCTTTCACGGGCGCAATGCGACGGATATTGCACCTCGATCGCCACCTCTGTATCTTTTGCGCCTTGTATCGGAGGACAGTCGGTTGCTCTCGATGCGATATCCGCAGCATGGATGATGGCCGGTCTCCTAACATCGTCGCTAAATGCCAGCTTGTGTCGTAGCCTGCGGTTCAGATCGAGCGGCCGGCCGTGGGTCTGACGTACGCGCTTTCTGAACGGGTCGCCGTCCTCCTCTTCCGAGTCGCTGTCGTCGCCGAAAGCGGGAGAGTCGCGCGGCGTGCTCGCGACGGCCTTGCGCTTCCGGTCGATGGGCCGCTGCTGCTCGTCACACGAGGAGGAGGGGCAGGACGACGCGCTCTTGGCCCGCGACGACAGCTTCTTGGTCATGGCTGCGGGGGAGAGCTTGCGGGACGGCGAGGCGCCGAAGCGCGGACTGTTGCCGTTCCCGTTCGTCGAAGGCAGTTTTAGACTCGTTTGCGGTTGCGGTTGCGGTTGCGGTTTCGGTTTGCTTGGCACGACGACTTTCTCTCTGCGCAGGACGGGCGCCGCAGCCGTCTTGGGCTTCGACTTTTGTCCGAAGAGTCCCATGGTTGGTTGGTTTGGTGGTGGCGCGGGGGGGATGACTATAAAAACAAATGCTTGTCTCTTTCGGTATCTAGATAATTACAGACTTCAAAATGAGGGCGGGGAAAGAGAGACAGAGTGTATAGTGTCTTCGGGACGTAGAATGGAACCAGCGAGGCCTGATAGAGGTGGGTTGTTCGAAGAAGAAAAAAAAAGAGCGTGACCGTGCGCGCCTCACGTACGTCGTCTGCCTAGGTATATGGATGCGGGTAGGTTATTTGATAGGTAAGTAAATACTTAAGGTAGGTAGTGGACAACCAGAAGAAAAGTGGTGGCCAAGGAGAGGGGCCGGCAGAAGGGGGCACCGATGTGTCTTGTGAAAACCAGGCAACCAATAGGCAGTGAAACGTGCAATGAATGATAGTAGGGGAGACACTCGACAAGGGCGATCGCAAATGCCAAAAAAAATGAAAGTTGACGCTCAAGAGCGCTTTGTAGGACTTTTGGTAGAAAGGCAAACTTGAAGGTACGGAGGTACCTGCTTCTGCTTTGTATTAGTACATGTACAGCAGTACTTGGAAGTTGGAAGCACCGACCTGTCAGCCTCTTATCCCAGGCAGGTTAAGCGTATCTTCACGTGGTGTCACTGGTGTGCACTAGATTGTCCCGAGGGCTCAGGATCTAACTAAGTCACCTGCCCTTTACAGCATAGCTGCATTTGATGGGTCAGTGCTTGTGTGTTTCGGTTGTGGCGCCGGCGTGGCCGGGTCGCGTCTCTTGTCGGAGAAGGAGTGATAGGGCTGCATCTAAACTGCTTCTCTGATGACAACTTCATACATTCCATCTTTCAAGGCTCAAAGAATTGACCTCTTTCGGTATTATCTGGGCAATGATTTCTCTTCCGCTTTCTATCCGCAGAGGACTCATTGCTAGCTTTCCGGCTTGCTTCAAGTTGCCTGAAACCATCTTATCACACGTTGAGTCTGGGTCACTACCATAGTTATTATACGGGGTTGATTGGAAGCAGATCTGATGATTGCCCAACTCACATGTTTTTCCGACACTCGCAATGCAAACTGTGGTCTTTTCGGGACTACTTAGACCCGACGGTGATGCTGCAGCAGGCCTCTTTGTCTCAAGGTGCCAGGGGGTTGCATCAGTAAATGGCCTTAGAGCCGGACCCTTGACCTCGAATCGTATTGACCACGGTCATTCTAGACCGCCACAGTAAAGGACTTCTTGGAAGAAGAATAAGATCAAAGGACCACGACATGGTGAAAACCAGCTCCTAGGGATCTTGCTTCACAGTGACAAAGGATCGTCTCGATGGGCTTTCAGGTGTTTCTTTCTTTGGTAAACTAGAGGATAGACCCTAGGGTCAGGATGGAATAGCATTATCAAGCAACAAACACTGCGTGGCCCGGCTTCTAAAAGAATACACGAATAGCCTTGTTCGGCAATGGCTGTGGAAGAGTATGCTGACCGGATTAGGATCTCGGCTTCGACCCTTTCATGGCTGCTTTGATATTGTTCAGCAGCCCGTCATCGTACAATGACTCTTTATGCCAGGCGAGAGTGATATGTGTAAGTGAA